TTGTCCTGATACTTTGCAAGTTTCTCTTCTTGTGAGCCACTAAGGAGTCTTGGAAAAAACATTTCTATGGATAATGGTTATCGATACATATGTCACATCCATCAACAGCATCTCCTCACTTGACGTGTAAATTGGTCGTGATGATCGATGTTTCATCTTTGAGTTACTATAGAGATTATTACGACGTATTCCACTCCTGCAGATTTCAAAATTGGACGTTGAAAAGAATAAACTGAGCGGTGAAACTTCGGATGCTGTCGTAAAACAGAAGCAACTGACTGATGAACGTCATTCATTGGAAAAACAACTTGGCTCAGCGAAACAGGAAGCTGTTGTGGTGGACCAACAAATCGCACAAGCCGATAACCAAATCGCAAAGGTTTGCTCAGAAAAAAACTGCATCAGAAAGTAACATCTCACCCCATTGACTTGATGAGTAAGCAAAATTTTTTAACTTATTGTTAGACGAGAAACTGGAGGCATATGGATAGTTCAATAGTCGGAATGTGAAGAGATGGAAATCAAGTTAAATTGGGGAAAGTTAGAAGCCTGGCGCCCAAATGGCGATAGTTTACGAAGTGCTAGTTGCTGCATGTTTGAATCATTCCCTTCGCTGGCAAGGAATGCTACAGGCAGCACATTATGAGCACATTGCTCATCGCAAGTGAACAAAATTGTTATTCCTTTGCTATCGTTTTATGTTTTTCAGGCTCACAGCAGAGATCTGTGGTTCCTTGCTTGATTCCTTGCTTTCATCGTAGATTGTTCATTTGACGAATGACGCTCTCTTCCAGGAATCTCAAGACGTACGAAATGCACAAAACGAACTGGACTCAATAAGGCGACAAAGACCGAAGTGGCATTGCATCTGGAGATGCAGAAAGAAGTGGAAACGAGCGCAGAGAGGTCGCATTGAAGCAGCCGAAAATGTTAGCTGTTCGAATCGATCAAAACTGAATGAGTTTGAATAAATTCTAAGATGTCGGATACTTTAATGTTCTCTAATCAGGCTTCAATACTCAAAGGCTAAATTCTTAAATTTTTCCAAATAGAATCTTGTGTGACACGGTTATTTTGGTCAATAGAACGTGTATTTAAATTCTACTTCCATTCCGAACCATCGATAACACGTATCTCACNTCACTCAAAAAATAGTATCAGGATTTGGTGCATTTATAGAATCATATCTTCAATTATGGCGACAATAAGGTGGCGACCTGAAAGAAAGCAGTGTTCTTAACTGCTGACCATGTTTTTGAAGGTGCTAGCAGCCGCAAGGCAACGTGAATCAAATGCAGTCAAAGCGAAAAATGACGCAGTAAGCAGACGAGGCACCGTACGGGATCGGATTAGCAGAACTGAGCAAGCATTGGCACAGAACAAGCAGAAATACGAGCAACTGAAGGCTACCCTCTTGAAGAGGTTGGTCAAAAGCACTCTGAAGTCGTTAAAAATTGTTCACTGTAAGAGATCTTTTGGAAATTGAACTCGACATTTCCTCTCCGATGCAGATTCTCTCATTCGATGAGTTCGATTATAATGAACTTATGAGATGAGTATACCTCAGTTTAGGCTAAAATTCAATTTTGATGATTCTTTAAGGACGAATTTAACCGAGACAATTCTGCAGCTGTTGAAGGATTTGACATCGTTGCAAGTAAACGTGATCCATTTGAGGCAAGAACTGCAAGCGGTAAATCTCTTTCAACTCTCATTTTATCACTTTGAATAGCGCATATCTCTGTTGCTCATGAGATGTTCCAAAGAAGCGCTCGTTTCCTCTCGCTTTTTTGGTGCCCGAAGTCGAATATTATTCACATTTTCACAAAAGATTGTTTCATCAACGTAAGCAAGCATGATTACCTTAAGTTTTCATTTCTGAACTGCATCAAATAATTCCTCCGCACTCAATACAAATACGCAAATTGTAGTCATTTGAATGTTCCGTTCACAGCGAATTCACGCAGCAGCGGGATGCATCAATGACATACTCTTTTTTAGCGTCAAGAACTGGATAACGATGATTTGGGAGTTGGATGGGAATCTATAAACACACCCCTCAACGCCATATCGAACTATTTGAACAATGGCGGATTTGTGAAGGATTTAGCTGGGTGGGGAATTGACATCAAAGGTTCGTTTGCGAAATGTCCGGTTCCATGAATGAGTTGAACACAGCATGGTCTTTCTAATTGTTTTCGATCGCGAGTAGCTGGTTACATTAATATGCATTTTGCTACATTTTTTGGAATATTGAACAATTTGATATATATTCAGTAATACTTTATAAAAAAATCATAAATTTCAGGCT